GGGTGGTGTGTGGGAGAGGGGGGAGAGGGGTGTGGGGTGGGGGTGTTGGAGAGAGCGTCGAGAAAAGACAGAGGTCTCACTCTGTGGATGTTTTGGAAATGTGACCATGACAACTATATATATACAGTCTATGGTGACAACTAGGGGCAGATTCACTGAGGAGTGGGAGCTCATGTTTCATTTGTGATCTATAGAATCTTTCTTCATCTAAACTAAAACGGACTCTGCATCACATTTGTCTTCATCTCATTCTTTACTAATGTTATGTTTTAACTACTCTGTGTAATTAATGTAAAGGTAACAGACTTCTGTTCATTTGATTTTTTAAATATTGTTTAATGAGAGGATTTGAAGAAGCGGTCCACTTACGTCACCGTGACGTGGTGTGCATGAGGAAGTGGATTGTAAACACTGTATCATGGCGGTGTTTTTGTGCGTGAAGCTGAGTGAAGCGGTGAAGGAGACATGTGCGCCGGTTTCCACACTCCCCTTTACTCCCACGCTGGACGGGGACACTTCCAGGACGTGTACGAGCCCGCGGAGGACTCGTTCCTTCTCACGCGCTGGAGAAACACGCGCAGCGGCTGCACAACATCAGGTCAGACGCACGTTTCCCTGGAACTCACCCGGAAATGACCCCTGACCGTCACAGCAGGCGTCTCTCTCCGCTGTCTGCAGCCCGGCTGTGTGTGTGGAGGTCGGCAGCGGCTCCGGAGCGGTGTCTGCGTTCCTGGCGTCTGTGGTCGGACCTTCAGCTTTGTACATGTGAGCCCCTCATCACTTTGCTGCTGCAGTGTCACGCAAACTTTGTTCAAACATACTTTGAATAGATGTTGGCTTCTAAATGTGTACGTATATCCATTTCACCCACCCGCACATGCTCCCACATCTTAAGATTGAAAGAAAGACGAGGCAGGTTTCTTTAAACACGTAAAAGGAAATATATATTTTTTAAAAATGAAATAACAAAAAACAAAAAACCCACAACATTTCATAGAGAAGAGCTGCTTTTGTCATTTTGCAGAGGTAATTTACACAGGACTTTAAAATGAGAACTTTACCACAAGTGGCAGGACGGCAGCGACACCACACAGTTATTAGTGTTTGGATTTTTTAAATCATTATTTTTTGCTGATGCGGCGGTGGCGTCGTGCCACTTCTGGTAGACCACGAAGAGGTTATGTCACATACTGAGCTTCTTTTAAGGGTTAATATACACTGGCTCTTGGTAGTTCACTCGTATGACGTACGCACCACTGAAACATTTACACACAAAATTGAGTTATTTTCTCTCCCTCAAAAAACAGGAATACTCCTTTTTATATTTTCAAAGACGACAGTTAACAGTTCCAAAACGTTTGGCTCTAGGATTGGATTCGAGAGGCCCCTCCCCTTCCACACACATTTCTATCAACACTTTTTTTTTTAAACAAGCGTGGCTCTCTGAGGAAAGAAGAAAATGGTTATTGTTGTTGTTGTTGTTGTTGTTGTTGGGCTGCCTGGCAGAAACCAGGGGTGTGCATAGGTGTTACCGTCTCCTTCCCGAGGCTCTGATAAGGCAGTTTGATTTTTCTCCTTTCCATTCAGTTATTTTTTGTATTCCAGTTCAGGAGCCATTTTTTTTAAAGTGGTGGATGTGTCACAGCTGATTGTGCCCCACCGAGAACGATGTTCCAGATCCGTTGACCCGCTGATTAGTACGGAGGGGGGGTGAGAGGGTTCGTGAGGACGAGTGGCGAAGGCAAGACAAAATGAACATGGCGAGGTGAAGAGGGAAAATGCGGTACACGTCTTCTTCATTGTCCATTTTGTCCAAACGGAGATGTAAACAAAGATCGTCAGGGAGGGGACAGAGGGATGAAGTGTGCTCCTTCAACAGACTGACAGGCACAGAAGGCCGGTGAAATAAATAAAGGGCTGGGGGGGGGGGAGGAGGAGGAGGAGGGAGGAAGAAACTGCCAAGTTTCCTGTGCTTTATTTTTTATTTTCTTCACTTAACTCAAAAGTTGCATTCCGAGCTGAGGGAGTTAACTTGTCGCCACTATAGCAGCTTCCGATGTGCTTCAGAGTTCGGCTTGTTGGTCACAGGGGCCGAGGTCGGGGGGGGGTGGGATGTCGGAGAGGAGGAGGACACAGTACCACGAGAAGTGCCTTAAAGGTCCACGCACACACAGGCACCCACATACACAGGCACCCACATAAGACTGCTTCATGGTCATGCTTGCTATTGCCTCCACTAGTACCAGCCATCCATCGATTACAAAAGAAAAGTACAAAATATCTACCACACTGCCCCTCCACACACTCCTCACCCTTCAACTATAGGAGGACAGAAACATATTCACTTATGTTTTTATCATTTATATATATATATATGTATATATGTACACAACAATACGCCTTTCAGGCTGTTGAGAAAAAGTGGCAAGGGGCAGGATCAAGTCTCTGTCGTGAGGCGTCACCAGAGTTCAGAGTTTCTTCATTTCCCTCTTTTTCAACGAGTTTATCTACAGAGGAAATGTTATGGTCCTGATGAGAGAGACGTGACTCGAGGGGGAACTGATCAAAGTTTACCATCCGTGTCGGATCAGAGGTTCGGGGGGTGATGAGCCGGTCGCCGTCCATCGCGTGTCAGTAGACCCAGGAGACGGGGACCCACTGAGAGGTGGTGGACACCAGGTCGACGGCCTCCTCCAGCAGGCGGATGGTGTCGTCGATCTCGTTGTTGATGATGGTTTGGTCGAAGTAATGAGCGTAGGTGTGCTGCAGCATCTCCGATTCCTTCTGGAGCCGCTCCAGAGAGTCGTCCTGCGTGGACGATGGAGAAAAGACAGGTTTCAGTGACTGGGTGAGGGTTTTTCTTCCTGGCGCCCTGGAGTTCAGTGTGCTGATACTTTAAATTCCCACATATTTAGAATTAGGACAGAGTGTTTCAAGTCCCAATTGAAAGTGCAATTGTCAAACTAATACTAATCTCCTGCGTTTTAAGCTGGAAGAAGATGTTAAGATCAGAATTTGATTTGTATTCATTAAGATTAGACTCTTGGTTGTTGTCTGATCACTAAATGCTCTTTAGATGCTTCAAATATTTTTACTATAAGTACTTATATTGTTCCCTCTGTGTCCTTTTGAATTTTATGTTTGTAAAAAGGATTTTAATTTAAAGTGCAGGAATCTGCCACCTGCTGATCAGATATAGTAAAATCACAGCAGTTTTAAATATACAGGCAGAGTAAGGATTAAAATAGAAAAACTACCCACGAAGATGCACAACTGAGAAAACACAAAATTAAGAGGATTATTCGAGGGATTAGGAGAATTAAAGGAAAACAAAAGGACAAAGAGCGGACAACAACTAGAGCTACAACAAACACAGGAGGCCAAACACAACGTGAATTGACAACATTTAATTAGTACTCACGGGCAGTTTCCTGCACCATTTTGGAACCTCAAGTGCAAATGAAAATAGGCATGCCAAAGAAAATACAAACAGACAGGCAGGTTTGTACAGCAAACAGGGCACATGCAGCGAGAGAAACAACGGTAAGGCGGATTTCCCACTGGATGTTCTGGAGCAAGCTTGAAAGGTGTAATCAAAGACTGAATGACAGTGAGTACAAGCCGATACAGTAAACAAGCAGGAGTTTTTGTGGCTGTACCTCGGTCATGCCTGGGGTGATGGTGGGAGCTGCGATGAAGACGACGTAGGGAGCAAACTCTGCAGTCCTGAGGATCTTTAGTGCCTGATGAGAGAGAGAGAGAGAGAGAGAGAGGGAGAGAGTGAGAGAGGGAGAGAGTGTGTGAGTGAGTAACTTTGAGTAAATGTTAGTGAATCTTGTTTTCACTTGAATCTGGGAGGCTGCAGTGTTTGCATGTTATCAGGTATCTTGTAGTTTTTTACTGTACCAACTTTATGTGTCAAACGTTCCTGCACGTTACCCTTTACCTGCTGTAGCCTTTCCAATGATGGGATGGCTTTGAATTCAGACGTTGTTTTGTTTGTGAGCCTCTTCAAACTAGTCACATCCCATCAAGTGACGTTATTTTAGTCAAATGCTTTGTTACCTGTGGTTCAACGTCCAGGATGGAGATCATGCCCTGTGCATGGATCTGCCTGATGGTCTCCAGCCTGGTTCCATACATGGCGTCCTCGTGGCTTCCGTACTCCAGGTAGTCATTGTTGCTGATGTCCTGCATCATCTGGTCATGAGTCACAAAGTAGTAGTTTTTCCCGTTCTCCTCGTCCTTCTTAGGAGGTCGAGTTGTGTCTGAGCAGAGGGAAAGATGGATAACAAACAGCTAACAAACACAAAACCTGTGTGTGTGCCTTTGTAGTAGACACGTGATTTTATTCTCTGTAAATGATATCTAAAAGTTAAGATGTGTAAAATGATGAAGCTTGTGTGGTCGTGTTTTTAGTGTGTAGTTGTTGCGTTAGAGTGTGTGCGGCTCCTTACGGGGGATGGGGTATGCGAACCGGTCTGGATGTTTGGTGATGAGTGTATTCTTGATGTGCCTCCTTCCCACTCCGTGTGCACCTGAAACAAAACAGCAGAGACTCCTCTAAAGTCTGACGAGAAACGAGAGAAACTTGCAGCTTGTCCGTCGTGGTTCAAAAGACAATCGGACTTGTTTTCTGAGCTGTAACATAACAGGAGGTCAAAGATCGGGGACAGACTGTAACCCGTCTGTCTGAATGAATTGTTTTAGGCCTTGATGGCCGATTGATGACTTTAAACAATTTTCAGTCGATGAATTGTTTAGTTTAGTCGTCACTCCTTAAAAACTGTCTGTTTTTTAATCTTTAATGCCCACCTCCACGTCATGTTGTCACATCACCTACCTCAACATAAAGATGTCACAGAATTTGAACATTGATTCAGGGAATTATATACACAGCTGCCAGTGATTAAAAACCAAGGTTAAACACTGTTCAGACGCAGCGAGGGAGTCATAAATCATCTCATTGTGAGCTGACCAAGGCCAAAAAGCAAGTGCTATGTAGGGACATGAAATCTGAAAGAAGTCCTGGTGAATGAAATAAGAGTTTGAAAACAATTAAAACATCTAGAACAACTGAAGAAACCAGCAGAAAAAGTTGTTGTAATGGATGTAGAAATGTAAAACACAAGGTTGAGATAGTCGTGACTATGTGGGAGTTGAAAGAAAAAAAGCTTCCTCCATAATAACAAGGATGATTCACACAACATATTACAACCAATGCTGCATTTCTTCTAAAGATCATAAACTGGTTTGCTTCTGATGTTAAATGCATTGTTTACCCACATCCCCACTAAGGGGAGGCAAGTTGCCCATCTCCTTGATTGTAGCTCACTTGTGCCTGAGACATTTTGTTCTGACAGCTGTTTCTTTCTCCACCTGGTGGCAACACTAAGGCGGTGTTCATGTGAAAGCTGAGTGACGCATAGAAGCTAGTGTACAGACCATCACAAACATAAGAGATCAGTGGCGAGAGCCCTCCTGAGACTTTTATCTGAATTTCGGCACTTAACACAAACAATTCAACTCTTTAACATCTCTGCTGGTTCATGCTCAAAAAAATAAAGGGAACACTTAAACAACACATCCTAGATTCAATGAATGAAATTTTCCAGTTGAAAATCTTTATTCATTCGATAGTGGAATGCGTTGAGAACAAAATAACATAAGAATGATCAATGGAAATCAAAATCATTATCCCGTGGAGGTCTGGATTCAGAATCATACTCAAAATAAAAGTGGAAGAATTAGATCACAGGCTGATCCCACCTCTGTGGGTTGTAGACGCCGCCTCACGCCTCATGCTACCTCTACTGGTGAGACTCTGGCAAAATGCAAACGTGACCAAACATCAGTGAGAAACACGAGAGGACAGAGAAATGGTTGTCTTGGTAATTGCCTCTCGTTTCCACCTGTTGTCTGATCCATTAGCACAACAGGAGGTGAAACTGATTCACAATCAGTGTTGCTTCCTCACTGGACACGTTGATTGAACTGTGACCGACTTTACATCGTGTTGTTTCAGTGTTCCCTTTATTTGTTTGAGCAGTGTACGTTGGTGAATTTACTCTTAACTGCTTAGAATGAGTTAAAATCCTCAAGCAGGTGTTTGTGAATAAAAAGGTAGAGGCCGATATATACACGATTATCAGGCAATGACCTGAATATACCTATGTTCAAATTTACAGAAATAGTTTTCTAGTTCATGAATTATTTTTTTTTCCTGACAGCAGTGACAGCAGTGTTTGTTAAGAATCCACTGTCTTTACTTACCCAGCAACACCAGTGTTTTCCTCTTGAACGATGGCAGTTTCACCACTTCCTCATACGTCACCAGATCTAGTTGGTCAAACACTGTCGAGGAGAAAGTTAACACCTTGTTTTATAGCAGGTTTTTGTTTTAGCTGGATGTACCTCAAACACAAGTAATGTCAATGCTAATTACATGTGCAGCGATTCCAATGTTTTATCTCTAAAGCTTAGATCCTCAGTCAGATTTGTGTTGGACTTTCTGAATATAAAAATGTTTGAATCATTGTAATAATTTCACCTGACCTGAAAAAATTAAACCCTGCGTATTTGCACTAACCTTGGTCAGACAAAAGCAAAACAATGCTAAGCTGACTAACATCTGGTCAATTTTAATTTCATCTCCACTAAAAACCCTAATAAAGCAGCCATCACTCAAAAGTCAAGGATACATAAGGACAAGGATGTGGTACAAAAGCAGAGAGAGGAGTAATAACACAGAAGCTGGATGCCAGCTGTCTGGAGTTACTTACATGCAGCCATATCATTGGGTAAGAGACAGCATGAAATATGGACAGAGGATGGGAGTGGAAGGGTTAATAAAAAAGACAAATTAAGAAACACACCATAACAGGTTTAAAACATCAAAAGCTGTTCATTGCAACAGTGTTAGTCAGTGAAATTGAGACAACAGTAGGAGAGGTCTGTCAGAGGGAGAAACACAACACAGCGTGCAGCAGTTACTCTAATTCAAAAGCACTTTCTTTACTTTGAGCCTGTAGGACTTTGTGTTCTACTACGTCTCATGTCTCACCTGCATTGTGCTTTGCCAGGTACTTGTCCTTATACTGTTTTTTCTTTTTGCCAAACCAGGTACAACTGGCCTGTTGTTCCTGTTTGGTCTTTTCCATGGCTATACAAGCCACACGCCTAGAAACACAGGGGAAGTAGATAAGCAGTGACTTTCAGTGAACTGTCCCTTTAATGTGTCTAAAAAAGACTGAGGCTGTAGCTATGACAAATACAAGTTAGCATTGTGGTGAAGTGATTCCTGAACTCCTGTGGTGTCTGTCAGATCTGACAGAAGAAACAGGACTCCTGGTAGGAATGACGCTTGCTTTACAATGTTTTAATATTTTATAATTTAGCTGTAATACAATTCACTTGGATATTTTGAAACAATACTAGGTTGCAAGCGTCAGTGAGTAGTTTTGCTCACCACTCCTGCAGCTCAGGCGAGGGGATGAGGCCCGCCGTGGCGTTCTTGGTGTTCTCCAACTTTCCCTGCCACCAGTTGTGGTCGTCCTTGGAGATGATCTGAATGATGTCGCCCACCTGGAAGCGAATGCCCGCCTCCTTGCACGGGATGAGGTCATCTTTCGTCGGGTCGTATTCAAACTGAGCGCGTACGTAAATCTGTGGGGGAGAAAACAAACAGTTGTAAACGACAGCGTGCGGTGTGATCATTGGAGGATACACGAGGAAGAAGATGATCGAGAGAAGCCGCCGTATGAAAGGAGACGCACTGTTAAATAGTTAGTGATGTGACGCCAACACTTTTCATTAAAAGACAGCTAAGGGCAAGTAAGCTGAAGCAGGAAGGGGCACAGACATTTAAATACATAAACAGCAGGATGATTGAACATTGCACTTAATTTACAAACGGCTTATGCAAATACATCCACGTTTTTTTCCGTTGCACGTTGATAGCCAGCATGGGATCTAGACAAAACTACGATGAGGAATCGAACGCTGCGATGGGGGTGGGAGGAGGGGGGAGGGGATCTACCTCTACAGAGGCTCCACTTAGAGACATCTTACCTTGATGGACAATTTGTCCTTGATAGTAGTAGTTCTGGAGATCTATGGGGTTGAGAGCATCACACACACACTTACACATATATCATGCGGTAGAAAATGTTGGGGGGGCATAAACAAAGGAGGGGCGATGATGGACCCACAATCGGAGGCTGAATCTATAATATTTAAACAACTGTACTGCATTTTATACAGTCCAGGCTGCAAATATTTTGACAATAACACATATTTTGTTTTTCAGACTTCAGTCTAAAGAGCAGAAAATGTGCATCTGTAAAAATACTTGACGTCAGGACTGCATGCAAGTGTGTGTGTGTGTGAGATCTTAAACACATCGTGCAGCAGGCAAAATGGCCAAAATGAACCAATGTGACATGTTAAGGGACGCGTTAACGAGGCAGAGTTCCAAACACTTTACATCTCAAATTAGTTAACTCATAATTAAGCCTGTCCACTCAGCTATGACAGTACAAAGTAATAATTTCCAGACCAGGAAACAAACTATTGCTTACAAATCATCCTCTTGTTTTTACAGCAGTGTAGGAATCCTTTCCAATGATCAGATCGAGGTGAAACGAAAGTTAAGATCTGACATTGAAGAATAATACCCGCGTTAACAAAATCAAAACGATGGGAATGGAAGACGAGTGCTTTTAACACGAACATTTGGACGTCAGTGTTAGTTTGTAAGTAAAGTAACCAGATTGTAAAGCAAAGGAAGGAGCAGAGGGAAAGAATTCATAATGTTAAGGAGGAGGAACTCTCACCTGACGGCCTTTGGGCTGAATCGTCGATGGCAGGTCCTGGTTGGGAAGACGAAAAACGTTAAATGCGAGTGTTTGTTTTGGGAGACTGCATACTTTTCTTTTGACATTTTGGAGGAACTGATTTCAATCTAAGATGTAGTGATTTGATGCTATGAACCTTAACCCCGACACACTTGGTTGACTCATCTGTTTTGGAGCTTGATGACAATAGCAATAAGACAGACTGTATTAACTTTAATATGTTGTTGCTGGTGCGTCTGTTGAGGAGTGAGATTGTGTGTGTGTGTGTGTGTGTGTGTGTGCATGAAAGGTGGAACAGTAACATACCAGGATGGAGCTGGTGACACTAGCATGACCGTTAGCAGGCGACTGTTGAGACAAATCTGGTGACTCTTTCTGCAACACAAAATACAACAAGGATGGTTTTTTTCACTATGCAGATTTTGAAAATAACTATAACATAAACAAAATGTGTGTGTGTTTGAAACCATACCTCACAGGACATGGACTGGGACCGGTAACTGGGCACAATCTTGAAAGTAATGCTTCCCCTCATCTCTTTCTGTGGGGAAGAAAAAAACAACATGCGTTTACAATGGTAGCAGCATCTTGCTAAACCTTATCCCAACTCTAAAATGAAGTCCTGTAGGCGCAGCACCCCAGCAGTTTGCCACCATGAGTTTGATATTTTAGGTAGAAAACAAAGGCCATTGCTTTTTGTAGCAAACTCAATGACTGTTCTAACTAGTATGTTTTTTTATTTATGATCAATTTGATCAGGATCATACAAACAACAATCTTTGGCAAACAAATGAGGACAATGCAACAGAGGCCCTGAGCTTCTATAATATTTATTTTAGATCGAACACAGGATCATGCAAACAATACTCTGTTTTCAGAGTGTTAAGTACATTATACTGAAAGACGTCCCAAATACAGAGGTGAAAAACGTCTGTGTAACTTACCAGCATCTTTTGGAGCTGTTCCACCGTTTGATTGGCAACGCTGATGCCATTAATTTCTCGGATCTCATCTCCAACATGCAGAGTCCCTGAGGCGGAGAAAGAATTAATTAATAATGCCTACAAATGACACTCTTGATGGATGAAACATCAGCGCTTCACAAAGCAGCGGCCAGGAAACCCCAGGGGTTATTCAGACGGCTCGAGGGGGAGCCCAGCTAATGTAAAGAAGAGCTTCATTTAATCGTTATTTCATTTAGCAGCCATTAGTCAAACTGTTTTCTCTTTGTCTGCTTTGGAAAACTCTCTACTCAATTTTATTTGGAGAGTAGATCTCAACAGATTGACATTAACTGAGTTAGCTAATCAAAAATGCATTAGTGGTGTGAGATGCTCGTAGTATTTTTGCATGAGTGCGTACCCTGTCGATGAATCATGCCACCGTGCATGATGCGGGCCACGATACAGTGGTTGAGTTCGTTCATTTTCAGAGTAATGCCCTGGGAGAGACAGACAGAGGGTCAGAGTGGAAACTGAGAACACAAAACAATGTGACAAAAACTTGTGGCACACTGCGCACCATAGGCTCGTCAGTGTTCTTCTGAAACTGCACCAGGCGAACCCTGGTGACGTTCTCCAGGTCCATATCTCCGTTGGTGCTGTCCGGGGAGTCTCCGTTCAGGTATGGTGAAGTGGGTGGGGGGGTCACCCTCAACGCTTCGTCGCTGTAAACCTCGTGGGCAACCACATCATGGGTCTGCAGCAGAGCCTGGAAATACACAAACAGCCATAAGTATGAAAAGAGTCTTGGATCCAACTGCTCCTACGTGGGTTCTGTTTTTAGTTCTGTCGCTGAACCCTGTAGAGAAGGAAGCCCATTAGCGCTTGGAACACGTCCCACAGTCGAAAGAAATGTACACAAACGTGGGTGGATGAACTGTTGAGAAAAGGGAATCAGACTAGTCAGTGAAATCTCAAGTTCCTATTAAATATAACTTTTTTACAAATCTTGAAGAGGTGACGAAGGATTTTCTCTTCACTCTTGTTCAGGATGACCTCCACTTTCTGTACTTCAAGTTTCAACAAATTTTACTGTAGAAATGTTGAGAAAATTACAGGGAGATCAGCTTCATTTTCATTATCACATCAATTACTTGCTCCTATTAAATATTAATTTTAAATAACTTTCCATATACTTTTGTTCAGGATGACCCCCCCACTATCCATTTATCAAGTTTGTAGTTGTTTTACTTTCTTTTGGCCGAACCTGCGCTGGTTAGGACCTGAGGTGCTCGGGTCAAGTATCCACTCTCTAGATGGTACATGTGGTTGCACACACAGTATCACTGTGTGCTGGCACAGCTCCATTGTTGGAATGAGCGTGGCTTACACTAAATCCTGCTCTTTGGCCACTGATCATGTCACTGACACTCTGTGTGATCTACTAGCGCTGTTCGCCAAACCATCACATCTGCTCATCATAGCAGCAACAGTAATGACACATGACTGTCATGTAGACTCTGAACAGCTGGCACCAAGGGGCTTTTGACGAATGGTGAACATTAATGTGGCTGAAAACAACAACCGTTGAAACAAATATGTTTACGAAGGCAACAACATGTGTTTGACACATAATACCAACAAATCAACAGGAACAGAAAAAGTCCTTGAATCACGTCCTCATTAATGGAGTCATACACCAAACAGAGAAGTGAAATGATTGATAAGGACTAAATGTTCCCTCCCGTGTGCTAAAGCCCTTCACACCCACACTGCTGGCAGCGACGCTAAACGTCTGTGGCAAGATGAAAACCCCAGCAGGTCAGAGAGCAGGACGCGCTAATTGGATTGAACCAAATTTAAAGCGTGACAACTGCAGTAAGTGCCACAGACAGAGGGGAACACTGCATCGTCCAACATTTAGCTACTGGGCTGTTTTCTAATTGACTATAAATCAGAAGAGGACTACAGAGCAACAGACCTACAGTAAAGACAAAAAACAAGCCTTCCTGAACTAATTGCTCTTGTATTGTTGTGTTCAAACTAATGAAGCAAGCAACACTTTCTGTGAACCAATTACAGGCTCCAAAATGCTTACACCTTTACATGAAGTCTCAACTTACAGTTCCCACGTCTGTCAACAGTATCCTCCAAAGATATTCTTCTAGCCTCAGCTCTTTTTAGGCCACTAGTCTCACAGGTGATCGTAGTGAAAGTTCTTATATATCCACGGTGACGTCCCTCAGTACATTCATCCTACTGCTCTACTGCGCCCGTCTCCTCTGCACAAGTCTATCCCTGCCCGAGGGCTCGCCAAGCTCAGGTGTTAAGCAGCTTTGTGGCCAAGGGGGTTATGTGGATTGCCAGGAACTCACTTCTAACACAGGAGGTTGTAGTGTCAGAAAGCAGCAAAGCATCCTCTACAGCCAGCCACAAATGAAGAGTGTGTGTGTAACACGAACCATGAAGTGTGGCTGCGTGAGGATCCTCCTGAGCTCCTTAGCCTCCATGTTCTCTGTGTAGCAGGAGATGGTTTCCAGTACCTGGTGAGGAAAAAAACACAATGAGAAAGTTTTGGATGGATATGTAGAATAGATATGATAGAACATCGGTTTTGGAGCACTGATTTTCTTACCTCTTTAGCTCTTTGCACTCCATCACTCGGGGGGTTTCTGATCTGAGGAGACGACCTGGTGTTGATTTTGTCATAAAGCTGAAACAACGACAAACACCTCAGTAAGACCCACTGATAAAAACGAGAGGATTAGCTGGAAGTGTTTATCAAAGATGTAAAACACAAAATGTGCACTCAGGCAAGTAGATGCAGAGGCAGCAAAAGGTTTGGGCACACCTCCTCAGAACTTGTGTTGCTAAGAGTAGTTAAGTGAGTAGAAGATGAACTAAAACCTCAGAGAAGAATGAAAAATCAAGGACAGCAGAAGAAAGCAAATTGTAATTTAATGAAGAAATGGCAGTTAAAGAAAACTTTCTGGTGGAGTACTGCTCATATGAGTGATAGACATATAAACCATTGTGTGGTGGGAGAACAATAAACTTTCTATTTTACATTTTTTTAATAAAATATGTAGTCTTGCATTAAAGGCTAAAGAAATGTGTCATCTTTAACTTCATGCCTTTAAAAAAAACAAAACAAACAGTTAATCTTCTCACAGTGACAGAAATTCTCTGGGGTTTACCCAAATCTTTTCCTGCCACTGTAAGCTGCCTGCCACCTGCTGGACTTTACTGCTATTACAGAGGAGGGGGCACTGATGGTGCGTTTACTCACATCCAGCAGGGTGTGGAGGTGCTGATCTTCAAAGACACTGTGCAGGAAGTCCATGTCTTTCTCGCTGCAGTCTGTCAACGCATGAATCTCCTCTAGACTGTCCAAAACCTGCGACACTGCCCCTGCACGCACACACTCGCAGAGGTTATACTCAAATACACATAGACTGAATCACAAGCACGCAGACACATCCACAAGTACACCAAGCAGTCCCTGCGAACATTCAACAGAACACAAAGTGCAAACACTGAACAAGACAGACACATTACCTGTAACACAAACACATACATAAACAAAAAAATAATAATCACAAACAACGGAAGGTACGACGGGAAACAAACAAAACACACACAAACACTCAGAACTATTTAACCCCAAGTACCTGCTGCATCGCCCACACATGCAGCAAAAGCAGAGAAACAGCGGTAACATGGCATCAATACAACATCAGGAGAAAGTCACTTCAGTAAGTCAAAGTGTGGATAATGGATTAGGAGCAGTACACTCAAGGAAAAAAGTAACGCAAAATAGAAATAGATAAACAGGGTGGAAGAGGTGAAGAAATAAAAGTAAAGATGAATGTTCTGTATGTAATGACGTATCAAATCTAAGTCTTTGTTGAGTACTCGTGGGAATCGAGGTATGCGACATTTAAAAATGATGATGCTGTGATACATGTTCTGACTGAAACCTCGAAACGTGGTGAACTTTAAAAGATCCTTTGGATAAGAGTTTTGACTCTGTTACACTATATATAACCCACACACTGGCCTGAAAAAGGTTCCTAGTTATCACTTTATTTAAAATAAATTAATTGCATGTACAGGGAATTTCCCCATCCTCAATTTTTCTAATCCTGTACTTACTGTTTTTTTAATAATCTTCCACAGAA